ACTCCCTACTTAATAAAATTCAAGCAGACAATTTCTGTTTGTTTTTTTTTTTTTTTTTTTAATCTGTAAATGAGCACCACCTGAGACACACTATCCCCACCCACACCATTAAGGTAACAAGATGGGAGATGCTGGTTTCAGTTATGGGCCTGTTTAGGTGACGGAACTCTTCAACGCGTTCCGTTTCGATAGCCCCAGTGCATTCTGGGAGGCTTAATGAGACAGACTACAGCTGCTCGGGGGGGCACCCCTGAATGTGTTTGTCAGTGAGTCTAGAGATCATCGTTCAATTATAGTAGCTAATAATGTAACCATATCTACCACTTTAATATAACTGTAATCTCCTATAACGAGTAATTCTGGCTTTTTATTCTGTTTACTCATTGTTTTTATAAGTATTTAATATGTTTATCCAGGGATGTAATATGAAGGCAGCTTTGTGGGGATCTCCGAAGTGCTCTGAACCCCTTAAACCTGAACGGGAGCACGTCACGCTGTGTGCTGGGTCGTCATGGTGACCCCTCCATTTTCAAAGTCTACTTTATTGTCATCGTGCACTATTGTCATCTATTGTCATCTAGTGGTGCTGGGAAGGTCTCCAAGGTGTGAAGCGCATCCAGCATTAGGCCTGATCAACAATCACGTAGATAAACACCCTGCTGCCACTGCTCCTTCCCGCCGGGCCGCCGTCTTCCTCTCCAGGCTCAGTCCTCCCCCCGGTTATTTATACGTCTGTCACTGGGCCTCCCGCTCGGAAAATCCAATCCGCTATCAACACTCTGCGGCGCCTCCGAATATTAACGCCTCGTGTCTCCGTGCAGTTTCCCTTCAGATTTCTGTGTATGTGTGATCTCGCGTTTGCGTGGGAACACTCCTAAGATGGTGCCCTGTGATTTCAGAGTCAGCTGTCCGACTTTTGTCTTAAATTCAGTTTTTCTGTTAAGCCTCTTAAATGCCTGAAATGGAAGCAGACTGGGTTCATAGCCTTGCTCTTAGCACTTCCAATGTAAATAAAAGCAGTGATTCAGTAATGGGGGGGTTGGTATGTGGCTCAGTGGGTCGGGATGCTGTGCCTGTAATCAGAAGGTTGCTGGTTCAAATCCCAGGGTCAGCAGAGTGATTTCACCATTGGGCCCAGAGCAAGGCTCCCAGCCCCACTGCTCCAAGATGACCCTGCTTTCTCAATAAATATAAATTCCTTTCAATAAAATAAAAATGTCAATTGTGAACTGATGAAAACCTGGTAATTTGGGGTGGATTGTGGGTTTTTTTCTTACTCCTCTCCCTTCATACTGATTCCCGTGACTCTCCCCGGATTCTGGAAGCCTCTCTTCTAAGTCTCCATTTCCGTCTGCGCTCCTGCCTTGTGTCCGAACACGCGGGAGCCCTTTGGCATGGAGGGTATTGAATGGGGCGGCCGTCGTGACGGAGCGTTTAATGCCACCTGGGTCTGTCAGATGCGAGGCGCCGGGAGGCCATGGGCATCTGATCACAGATTGCCCTGTGCTGGTGGCGCCCCCTAGGGGTGTGGAGGCTCACAGGAAGTGGTGGTGTTAACATTTTTGGTGGAGTTTAATTATCTGCATGTAGTCCTTTGGAAAAGAGGTCCGGTTGGACGTGGGTGTGAATGTGGTCCGATCGGGTGAGACGAAAACCGTATCCTGGATGCGATTCAGCCGCTGGTAGCAGCATCTCTGCTTGAGGTGCTTTTGGTTTTGGTAAAAGTACAGAATTGACCTGAACATGGTGCGGATCTGTCTGTGGTCCCGGTCAGACCTCCTCTCACCCTGAACGTCTGCCTCCATGTTGCACAGTAGCGGCTGACGGATCTGTAATAAGCTCCTCTCTGTTTTTCACCTTCTCTAAGTTCCTCCCCCCTGCCCCCCCCCAGTCACCATGCAGGTAAACAGCATCAATCAGCAGCAATTAAATGAACACCTCGGGAAAGATGCCCGTGGATGTACTCGCTACGCTGAGCTGACGAAAGATGAAATGCTCATTTTTCCTCCCCCCCCCCCGTTGATCTCTCTCTGCCTGTTAGGGCTTCTTCCGCAGAAGCATCCAGAAGAACATGGTGTACACGTGCCACAGGGACAAGAACTGCATCATCAACAAGGTCACCAGGAACCGCTGCCAGTATTGCCGACTGCAGAAGTGCTTCTCCGTCGGCATGTCGAAGGAGTGTGAGTCGGCCCTGGTCACATGACTGGTCACATGACTGCCCCTTTCACTTCCTGTCCTGTGTCCTTCAAACACATCATCGTTAGACAGGATGTTATCACACCCCGGATCCCTCACTTTATGGCTGATGGCTAGTTTCACAGGCTCCTCCCCAGTCCAGTGACCCTTGAGGTCAGCCCCCTCCCAGTCACATGGTCTCTGGAGGCGGGGTTTGACATCCCCTGGTGGGGTTTAGGTGCCCGACAAACCAACGAAAACTGCAGTTAGTTTCCTCCAGAGTGTCTAGACATGTTGGTAAACCAGCTCTATCAGTTGGGCGGCTCACAGGCCCAAAACGGGCCATCATGTTATCACTGGCCGCTGAATGTGGGGGCATCACTACAGACCCGAGGGGGCCATTGCTGAGGAACTTCTCATTGGCTCTGGCCAGGGGCGAGAACACGTACTGACTTGCTGTATTACTGATATAACACTGTGAATTATCGCTGGGCCTCTGCTTAATGACACTGTTTTTATCCAGCGAGTGGATGAGTAGGATCCCTGATGCATCTTTCGATGAATTTATCTGGGGGGGGGACGTTGTGGGGGGAGAGTGTGTAGGGGGGGTCGATGCCCCGATCTGGAGGGAATGACGTCCATCCCACACAAGGATGGAGGGATGCCATGATCATTAGCACGTCGGAGCGTGACTTTACCGCTAACGCTAATATTAGCAGCTAATGTTAGCGTTGATGGGGATGTCGCCGCTCTCCTGGCGCGCCCCGTCACCCTCGCGCTTTTATAACGCGTCATGGTACATCATGTGCTCGGCTACCCGGCATGGGATGGATGTTCTGGAGAGGGGGGGTGGGGGTCTTCCAAGCGGAGGCATGCCACATCTTTGCCAGCAGGTGGCGTGGCGGCTGATGAGGCTTCTAAGCCAGGCAGGGAGCCCTAAGTCTTGGGTGTCCTGCAAAGTGGTCAGAGAGATCAGCTACTTCAGATGAAATCTGTAACAGGACCTGCCTTTCACCTGTTCCTGACACGGTGTCATAGTGAGATGTGCAGAAGATCCCAAGAAAAAATCGCTGTGTATCCAGCACACATGAGAAAAAAAGCATTTTCTTCATTTCCCATCCCTTTGTCTTCTGAATTATTATTATTATTATTTTCTTCATGTCACACATTATTGGCTCAGTGTGATTGCATCAGCCTCAATCATTCTGCCCCACTGTATATGGCTACTTTGCATAAGAGGGCGGGACTTACAGCTTTTGCTACTATGATTGGCTGAGAGGTCCTCTATAGCAGCTGTGCTGTTACTGTCTGAAGGCATGAAGCTGATACCATAATGCATGCAAAGTTTTAATCATATGGAAATTATTAGGCTGCCAGCAAGGCAGTATTTATTGAACAAGACACCATTGACCCCCTGGCTGATATTCCAACAAAATATCCAGCTGCATAAATAAATCAGTAAACTGTTCATAGAAGCATCAGAAAGACAGACACACGCTTGTAGCCCGTTTGTCTGCATGTGGTGCAGTATAACTGGAAGGTTTCTAGTTTGAATCCCGGAGCAGGGGACTTGTGAATTGCTCCAGTAACTGATGGCTGTACTGGCCGCCGTGCCTGTGTGCCCCTCTTCCTGAAGGGGCATTTCATAACACGTCTTATTGGCTACATGCTAAACGCGCCCATACCGAGACCCCACTGGTCATTTGCTGATAATTTGGCCATTGTTACGTTAAATGGTTTGGCAGAAAATTCCAGCTGTTACATTAAATGTACAGCAGCGTTTTAATACAGATATGTAGCATTAGAGCTTTAGGAAATATTTATGTATCTTTGCTTTGATGGGGGAAGCTGGGTAATTAGGTGAATTGGCATCACTAAATTGGGGTGTGGGTGTGTGTGTGTGGGTGGGAGAACTCCTTCCTCATTCCCTCCTAACCATCCAGGCGTTCCCTGCCCACTGCTTCCTGGAATAGGCTGCATGATCCCATAATGCAGTGTTTCCCAATCCAGTCCTCGGGGACCCACAGTCGGGCTGCATTTTCGCTTCCTCGGAGCTCCCTGCCAGACAGTCCACATTTTTGCTCCCTGCCAGACAGTCCACATTTTTGCTCCCTGGAGCAAAAATATGGGCTGTCTGTGGGTCCCCGGGGACTGGATTGGGAAACACTGATGTAGCGGGTGAACAGGGTGTTTATTTTTGGGCAGACTCTCTCCTATTCTATGCCCTTTCCCACAATGTAAATAAATATTCAGCTCCACATTGATAGGAATGTTCCAAAGGGCAGTGTCTGGCAGGGGGGTGTTTATTTTGATACCGCCGTGTAGTTTAGGAATGTCTTCCATGTTTTCCGTGTTGGTGCATCCCTAACCGGCAAAAGCCCTTTTATGTGGGATAAACAAACGTCAGCAGAGAGTCTCAGCAGAGAGTCTCAGCAGAGAGTCTCAGCAGAGAGTCTCAGCAGAGAGTCTCAGCAGCAGCGTCGCGGCCGGTATCTATAACAGCTATCTGGCCGGGGGGGTGCGATGACAGGCCGCCGTTTTTGTTATTGACCCGGCCGAGGCCCGCATCAGCCACTGGAAGTGGATATTTCAGCTTGGGGGTGCTGATGAGATGTGATCCTTCTCTAGATTTATTCACCCCCCCTTCTTTGCCAGGTATTAAAAACCCATTTATTTTCATGGCCCCCAGTCTGACGCATCATTCAAATAGATCTGGCTGCTGTAATTCGGTTTGAGTGGGGGGTAATTGATTGCCCGAGGCGATGGGGCCGTCATGTTGTGCTCTTCCTAAATCACACCCCCCCCACCCCCACCTGCTTCTGTCGCTGTGCCAACAGACGACCCTGTCTGTTCTTTCTAGCGACGTATTTCACACTGGGGTCAATAGCTCCCCCCCCTAGTAAATACTGCTCTGCTTAATATGCTGCCGTGACGTGGAACCTCGCAGAATCACACACCCGCTTCCAAGGTCTGTGGCTGCCAGTTCTGGGGGGGGGGCAAAGCCACGGATGCCCTCCCCCTTTATTTATTTATTTATTTATTTATGCCTCTGGGACGTCACACGGTGGGGAGGAGTACATGAAGGCTGACCATGGACCTCCCTAATGGCCTCTGGTCTAAGCCAGTGCGTCCCAAGGCGGCCCAGAGCCCTTCGGATGATGACGTCCTTCCCCTTCTCACTTGCTATTTCAATATCCTGTATGTCAGTGTTTCCCAGGCCGGTCCTTGGGGATCCTCATTCGGTCCATGTTTTTGCTCCCTTCCAGCTCCCTGCCAGACATTTTCTGCTACTGGGACCTGGGAGGGAGCAAAAACGTGGACTGTCTGTGAGTTCATGAGGGCCGGATTGGGACACACTGTTGTGTATGGATGGCTTGACACTGACGCCTGCTTGTATTGACTCGATGTTGCATTTTAGCACAAAGGTAACAGACGCCTCATTTTCTCTCACCTCCATCTCTTTGGTTTATACTCCAATACCTCCCTACTTCTTGTCCCACCGAAAAATGACGTGATTTAAACATCTCAGGAGGTAAATAGGCTAAATGAGTTATGACCCCCCCCCAAATGAGCTACTGGACCTCTGCCTGAGTGACTGTAGTGAGGGGTTCTTGGGTTACAGGTGAATGTGAAGCCCAAATTATAACGGTGCACCGATGTGAAAATTTTGGCCGATACTAATTTATTTTGATCTAATATTACTGATAACCAGCTGACCTATGACCTTCAGAAATCTACATTAAAACTGATGTCAGTGATGTTACTGCTTAAGATCCCATGAATGTGTATAATAGCCACATCAGATAATGCAGGCAGTGATACACTGAAAACTCTAAGTTCTAAGCATGGATTGAGCCAAAAACCCCTCATTCTCCACTATAGAACATAACTGATGGTCCAATCCAATCTGTTATTCAGTAACTGCTGCTAACTTTTAATATTGACACATCAGACCAATGATGTTTTTTTTTTTGGCAAACATTGGCCAATACGGATATGTTAATCAGTATTTCGTACGTTGCTACCAGATTACTGCCACAAGCTTTTATGTCGTCTGTTTTTGAAAACATCCCTGGAAGCTGCTGTTCTTTGGTGAAGGCCTTCCTCGCGGGACTCGGGAGGTGACGGCCTGCCTGGCGTAACCTGGTGAAGCGAGAGGATGAGGTCACGCAGGAGGTCCTTTGGTTACGCGTTTAGTGTGAGCCAGAAGGTTCTCCAGACGTCCCGTTTGATGTGCTGGTAGCTCAGGACCTTAAGAGCAGGACCTAGAGCGAGTCCTCGAACATCAGCTGGCTATGAAGGATGGGGTTATCTTTCCGGAAGGATTACCCTGACATGTTCCGGCTGGTTTGCTGAAGAACCCTCGGGGGGGGGGGTGGACTTGTGTCTGAGGAGGTGCCGATGGAAAGGTCTCCTTCATACAGTCCTGAAGGACACGACAGTCCTTGCTAATCGCAAGTCTGTTTTGTTTTTCTTGTTTTCAGTCGGAGACATGACTGGTGGCTCTTCTAGGGAATCCCTTGTGCTGGGGGGGGGGGGGGGGTTTATCTATCCCTTGTTCTCTTGGGTTAATCTGAGTTTATGGAAATCCACTTGAGCCAGTCCCACACACATTCTCCAGTCCTCATATCTCTGCATGAAATCGACCTGAGGGACGGCAAGCCAGGCTCATGGGTCTTAATGGTGCCAATACATATGATTTTAACTGGAGATCAAATAGTCCAGTTGATGCTTTCTGGCCAGTGAATTTGTGGCCGTGTTGTTAATAAGCATAACTCCCATGGCCGCCTACAGCTGTCCGGAATGACCGGAACAAGAGGAAGAAGGAGATCCCCAGGCTGGAACTGGCGGAGAGCTACGAGCTGACCGCTGAGCTGGAGACCATCGTGGAGAAGATCCGGAAGGCGCACCAGGAGACCTTCCCCTCCCTCTGTCAGCTCGGCAAGTACACCACGGTGAGAGGGGTCCCGAGTCTGCCCTGAGCCGGGCATGCGACCTCTAGGGGGCGTCCTGCAATGCAGAGAAAGTGGTCTGTGTGGGGAGGTGAAACGGCACAGCACACCGTAAACTCCGAAAGATAGAAATGGCACCGGTGGGGCTCTGTAGTGCTTGGTGGGTTAGGAGACTCTGCATGTGATCGGAAGGTTGTGGGGTCAAATCCCAGTGTTGAAAAAGCGATTTCACTGTTGGGCCCTTGAGCAAGACCCTAAACAGCAATTGCTCCAGGGAAGATCTGAACCTGCTTTCGCAATCATACATCACATTACTTTGGATAAAAGCGTCTGCTAGATAAATACAAAATGTAATAATTGATGGAAGTTCACTGTTAATTTGGCTGAACTCGCTGCAAGACAACAGCCAAAGAACTAAAGTCCAGTCGAATGGTAGGTTTGGGTGATGGAGTAGAGCCTGAGCGATCGGTTAGAAAAATAACGAACAGAAACTGTAATAATTATGAATTATTAATATCTGGCGGATCAGCATCCCTAACTTGTGTTCATAGCGGCCTGGTGCTGAATGAGCGGTTATGGGAGATGCCTGGGTGTGTATGAGTGCGCGCTCTATACCGAGTGTGCGCGCTCTATACCGAGTGTGCGCGCTCTATACCGAGTGTGCGCGCTCTATACCGAGTGTGCGCGCTCTATATCGAGTGTGCGCGCTCTATACCGAGTGTGCGCGCTCTATACCGAGTGTGTGCGCTCTATACCGAGTCTAGTGTAATGTTCCCTGTGGCTGTATATGCATGGGGTGATTCTGCATGAACTTGTTGATCTGGAACAGATTGTTTTTCCATAAAATAATGTTTTTGTTTTTTTTTTTTTGTATATTGATATACGCCTGAGGATCGTGACTCCTGTGTGTGCGTGTGCGTGTGCGTGTGTGTGCGTGTATCTGCACATGTATGTATAATATATAATGTGATGGTGTCATGTTAACTGAAGCAAACTTCAGCACTTGCCGTCTGCCAGATGGTACGATTTCCCTGAAGGGGGGAGGGGGTATATTTTTAATGGCATGCTTCACATTCATGGTGGCGGTGGGGGGGGCCCTCTGGGAAAAGCAGACGGCCAAAGCCAGGCTGGGTGGAAGGGGGGAGCAGCAGGTCATTTGGGTGTGCGGGGGGGTGTGATGGTAGTGGTTGGTGATGTCATCACACGAGGGCGGCGGGAGCTACACTGCCAGTCTCCCCACAGGAACGCCTGGGGTGCTAACAGAGAGAATAGTGTGCTAATGTGACACGCGAACACAGTGATGCAATCAAGTGCTCCCAGAGGGGAGGGGGAGCGAGTCATGAGACCTGTCATGTGACTTTGTAAACCACTGTCACTTCCCATCTGTATCAGATACATAATCACCCTTAATTGTGTCAGTTCAAGGGTATACAGTCATGGCCAAAAGTTTTGAGAATGACACAAATACTGATTTTTTCACGAAGTCTGCTGCCTCAGTTTTTATGATGGCAATTTGCATATACTCCAGAATGTTATGAAGATTGATCAGATTAATTAACTGCAAAGCCCCTCTTCGCCATGAAAGACCTTAATCCCAAAAAAACAATTTCCACTGCATTTCAGCCCTGCCACAAATGGACCCACTGACATCATGTCAGTGATTCTCTCATTAACACAGGTGAGTGTTGATGAGGCCCAGGCTGGAGATCACACTGTCATGCTGATTGAGTTACAATAGCAGACTGGATGCTTTAAAAGGAGGGTGGTGCTTGAAATCATTGTTCTTCCTCTGATAACCATGGTTACCTGCAACGTCTCCCAACCATCCAAGAACAGTTTGTTGATGAACAAAGCCTCTTCCAGCCTGATGGAGCAACAGTGACAACTAAGTGGCTCAGGGAACAAAACATTTTAGGTCCATGGCCAGGAAACTCCCCAGACCTTAATCACATTGAGAACTTGTGGTCAATCCTCAAGATGCAGGTGGACAAACAAAACCCACAAATTCTGACAAACTCCAAGCATTGATTATGCAAGAATGAGCTGCCATCAGTCAGGATTTGGCCCAGAAGTTGATTGACAGCATGGCAGGGCGAATTTCTTGGAAAAGAAGGGCCAACACTGCAAATATTGACTCTGCATGAACTTAATATAATTGTCAATAAAAGCCTTTGACACTTATTGACTCGTAATTATACTAGAACCAACACGTGTGTCATTCTCAAAACTTTTGGCCACTACTGTAGATACAAAGTTTTTAAAAATTTGACATGCTGTTTTGCCATTTTACTATTGATTCACCATCATTAATAGTGCGAGCCGGTCTTTGTGGTGTGTTATGTTTAAGGAAATCTAACATCACATTTTATTACTGGAAAATGCTACAGGAATAAGTGTGAAACGTGGTTCCTTGCATTTATGTTCCGTGCGTAACCCGTTTAAACGAGCTTCTGCTTGAGGTGGAGCTGGTAAGCAAGCGTGTACCAGTTCAGTAACAGTGAGTACGGATCAATACTCCTCTGCAAAGGCTACCGGCACGGGAGCGCTTAGCGTAACGGCGTCATCGGTAACGGCCTTTGGACACGGCTTCAGTCAGCGCGGCGAGTAATTATCATCGCTCATTGGCTGCGCGAGACTCCCTGCGATTCGGCCCTGATTGGTTTCTGACATGCTCTTTAAATCTCTTTATCTGAAACAGAAGAGGTGCATGGCTCTCCTCAGATTAGGTTAAAGCCTCAATTACGCGGTGAAATATTTAAATCTCTGGCCGGGATGAGTTATAGGTTCACCGCAGGGTGAGGGGAGAGCGATCCGTAACGCGAGTGAGAGGGACCCCGTCTGGCTCAGGGACACAGCAACGGCGTGGGGGGGCGGCCATCGTTTTACGCTGACATGTTATGACCCCACCCCCACCCACTGTTTTTGATTTATCCCCGCGAGCCGCCGGGCCGTTCCTCAAATGTCCCGGCCCGTCTAATTTGTTTGGATAAATGCCCTTAAATGAAATTAGAATTCCCCAGCCTCTTCCTTGTTCCCCGGTATTGAATTATGGGGCCGGCGGTAATTGACTGGGATTGCGGCGGAGAATCGGCCCGTGGAGGACTCGGGCCTGCAGATGGAGAAGACGAGTTGGTTTAATATCCAAGGCTTGCCCATCCACCAGAGCGGGAGCGGCGTGGTGTGTCGAGGAGCTCGTCCGCAGCCACTCACACCGCCGTGTGTCTCTCATTTAGATCATATTGATTGCACCCCCCCACCCCCAGAACTAATGCCATGCTTATGGATCCTCACATCAGGATCCTCGCTCTCTGCACCTCCCCCCCCCACAACCAGTACGCAGGATTTATCCACCCGAGGTGTGATCTGTCTCCACGATGCCGTTGGGGTTCTGTCCAGAGCTGCTGCTCGTGCGCCCCCCCTTTCCGAAGCAGATGGCGCCTGTGAATGTGTGTTAGCTGCCGCTGTGTCCTGTTCCGTGTCCAGGATGTACGCAGTCTCCTCCACTACGGCATGGACACGGACTCCCGGGGCTCCAGCGGTTTCCCAAGAGCCCATTTGCTGTGGCGTCTCCAGGGTCATGTAGCTACTGGCCATCGGAGGGTGTCGGGCTTCTGGCCCCATTTCCACACGGGCGCATTGGGCCCATTTCCACACGGGCGTGGCCCCGCCTCCTGCTGCTTCAGCGTTCCCGGTCTGCTGGGGCGGGGTGCCGGGATGTGGCCCCGCCTCCTGCTTCTTCAGCGTTCCCGGTCTGCTGGGGCGGGGTGCCGGGATGTGGCCCCGCCTCCTGCTTCTTCAGCGTTCCCGGTCTGCTGGGACGGGGTGCCGGGATGTGGCCCCGCCTCCTGCCGCTTCAGCGTTCCCGGTCTGCTGGGACGGGGTGCACCATGCCCACCATATGAGGGATGGGATTATAGAGCCCCAGTAAGCTGGGTTAGTCTACTGAGAGGAGAGAGGCTCGGAAGGCCTGAATTCTTCCGGAAAACCTTTCATGATGTTGTGCTGATGGGCCTTTTGTTGGTTGGTCTAAGTGTTATCATTACTGATTTTGTCTTTCAGCTGTCTGTCCTCATCCTCCTCTCCCATTCTCTTTCTTTACCTTCTTAATATCTCTGTTCCACAGCTCCATTCTGCTGAGATCACACTCTCTTGTTCTCTCTACCTCTCTCCCTCCATTCTCGGGCTTCTTACTGCCGAGATTGGTCTCCATCGCTCTCTCTTTCCTTCTTTTTGAAAGAAGAAACTGGCTCTCCTGAGTGAATGATTATTCCACAAACTGTCACTCTCTGACCTCTGTCCACTGCTCCTCTGGAGCTCTACCCTTCATCCGGAGAGGACAGTTGAGGTGGCCTCACCCTCCCTCTTTTCTCTGCTTTTCTGCTTTTCTGCTTTGCTTCTCTTCCCTCCCCCTCGTCACCGCTGCTGTCCACCGAGATGCCGCCCGTGTGTCCCCCCCCCAGCCCCCAATGCACGGAGCTTGTCTCTCTTCCTCTGGCCCGTTAATGGGCTTGCATCAAAGCCTGGCTTGTCACTTGTCACAGCTCTGCCCCGCACTTCAGACAGACCGCTGGTTACCCAGCATCCTCCTGGGTAATGTGAAAAATAACATGCGTGACGTGTCATTGTTGTTGGTGTAGGACCTGGACTGTGAGATTCTCCACAAAGATCAAAACGACAGCAGCTACCTATATGCTTTCGCGCGATGTCTCTCTTTGCTTGTCACGGATCTGCATTCTCTCCCTTCCTGTCCTTCCAGAACTCCAGTGCAGACCACCGTGTGCGTCTGGACCTGGGCCTGTGGGACAAATTCAGTGAGCTGGCCACCAAGTGCATCATCAAGATTGTGGAGTTTGCCAAGAGGGTCCCCGGCTTCACGGGGCTCACCATCGCCGACCAGATCACCCTGCTCAAGGCCGCCTGCCTGGACATCCTGGTAGGTCGTCCCCCCCCCCCGTGGATCTGGCTCCAGTTCTGCGCCAGTTCCCCCTGCTGTCTGCTAAAGCATGAAGCATGTTGGAGTCTTGGTCGTAAGCCGTGAAAAGCCCCCAGAGACCCCACAGCAGGAATTGAGCCTCGGGAGACGGATTAGCAGCCCCAGATTGTCTTCCCTGAGCCAGTTTGGCCCAGTTTGGCCCAGTTCGGCCCAGTGCCGTGTGTTCCCGCGAGACTGCGTCCGGCCCACGATGCACACTTGGGCTCCGGCCAGCCGTGAACCAGAAGGCCACCATGGCCTGAGAGGGATCTCACGCTGCTTTTGTCGTGTGTGAAAACCTGCTTTAAATAGCATAGGTGGCGTCAGGGGCTGCTTAGACACAAAGAGCGGTCAGTGGATGGGAGGCTGTTCTCAGTGGATGGGAGGCTGTTCTCAGTGGATGGGAGGCTGTTCTCAGTGGATGGGAGGCTGTTCTCAGTGGATGGGAGGCTGTTCTCAGTGCACGTTAATTACAGCACCTGAACACACGGCTGCCACCACTGGCCAATTGCACACGGCCTTATTCTCCGGCGTTACGCCACTCTGCTTTTTGGTACCCCACCCCCCCATTAAGGAAAAGCTCAATATACCCAGACAAGTGCCTCTAGCCAAAAAATATCTATGTGTGTTTTGTCTATAGCAAACGATGGCTGTCATGCAAATGAGCTCATCGTTAGCACAGAGCCAGCGGCTACGTTTCAGTCGCTCACCCCATCCCCCCCCTCCATCGAGCGGCGTGGGCTGGTAGAAGAAGCATCATACAATTTTTCTCCACATAGCAGCAGAGGGCTTGGAGCCAAACCTGATTTGATTTGAGCTGTCTGGGGGGAGGGTTTGCAGATTCTAGGGGGTCCCCCCAGCCAGCCTCCCAGTAGCTTTCATGTAAAGCTTGCAGCCTATGGTGTCGTCGGTTCCCCCCCCCTGTGCCGGACCCAAGGAAACCCTGCTCTGATCTACAGCCTGCAGAGGGGGGGGGGGACTGCTGTGCCCTTTGAAGAGGAGTGGAAGCCGTACTGCCTGGATGCCCCGGCCAGCGGGAGGGGCACAGCTGGCACTGGAGCTGACGTTAACCCAGGCTGGTGGGGTCCCGTAAAGGCTGTGGGGGGGGGGCAGCCAATAGGCATGAGGAAAAACCGGAAACGAGGGTCTGTGGAAATGCGATACGGTGGCTGTAGATGGCCTTGGCTTTTACGAGATTACCCAGAAGGCCTTGCTGGAGGGGGCGGGTCCACCCAGGTGTCCTCTGAATGCCACACCCATGCTCCCCCCCCCCGTCCCTCTGAGCCCAGTAGAGAACGATCAAACGGCCCCGGCTGTCTTTTGTGAGTCACCCAAAGCAGGCATGTTTAATTCTGTTTCATCATCCCGCCGCTGCTGCCACTCTGCATCAACGCCCCCCCTACCCCCCCAAATCCTCATCAAAGGCGGCCCCCCCACATATGGTAGCAGCGGTCTTTAGCAATGCTACACACGCTGTTCCACAGTGTTGCTAAAGATCTGCCTCTTAGAAATATGAATTAGATGTAATTCTCTTGACTGAAGTCTCTGTACCATCCATCATGCTCTGCTCCCATGTGCCCCCGCCCTGTTACCGTGGTAGATTCTCCGCATCTGCACGAGGTACACCCCCGACCAGGACACCATGACCTTCTCGGACGGCCTGACTCTGAATCGGACTCAGATGCACAACGCTGGCTTCGGGCCGCTCACTGACCTGGTGTTCACCTTCGCCAACCAGTTGCTGCCGATCGAGATGGACGACACTGAGACTGGCCTCCTCAGCGCCATCTGCCTGATCTCCGGAGGTGAGCGTCTGGGGGGGAGGGAGGGAGGG